TCATTCCTACAACTATGATAACCAATCATTCTAGCAAGTTGATAACCAGTCATTCTAGTTGAGAAGTTTAGTCTTCTGTTAAAGAGACTTCTAAGGTAGGTATGCATTAGAGGACTAAAGTAGCAAGCTAGAGGTTGGGCTAAGATGCTATCTTAAAGATTCTTTATTCCCATGGCTCACTGTAGGTTCTAGAGTCCTATGGTGGCTCCATGGAAGTGCCTTTGGGCAGAGGCATGCAACCTGACTTGTTTTGACCCAACTTAAACCAAAGCAACTTGCTCTTAACTTGTTTACATATTGGGCTTCCTCTTAGAATTTCAGTTGTGAAAAACACTGTTCTAGTCCACCGCTTCCATTTTACAAAGAAGGAATCTAAGGCCCAGATATAAGCTTCGGTGACTTGCATGATATTACACTGTTGGTCATGACAGCTAAGATTAGACTTCAGGCTTCCTGACTCTTTATGCAGTTCTGTTTCCATGACAACAGACTATAATTCAATCTCTGCCACCAAGGCACCTTGTTACCTAAGTAACATCTTTGTCTTGGCCTCAGTTTCCTTCTCTGAAAGGAAGATTAATACAGCTAATACCCTGTAGGGCTGCTAAAAGGGACACTGCAGATTATAGAGGAGCGAAGAGTAACCAAAGAAATGGCCAAGGCTCATCCTTGGTTTAAACCTTGCCTCAAACTGTGCCCTGTGCAGTGTTCCTACCCACTCTTGCCTTCATGCCCTGCAACCTCCCTGGACAGGGTCTCCCTAAGACTGGTTTAAATTGACTGATGGAGCCCTACAGGCTGGTTGAAGGAGCATAGACTGACTTTGTAACCCTGGTGGCTAAATTTCTAATATGCCTTTCTGCTTGATTCTCAGGATAGTCTGGGCACTGTTGAGCGGACCCAGGATTCAGAAGGGTCCTTCAAACTGGAGGATCCCACTGAGGTGACCCCAGGATTAAGCTTCTTCAACCCTGTCTGTGCTACTCCCAATAGCAAGGTAGGCTAAAAGACAAGCGTTTCCAACTATTTTAGTATCCCTCTCTACATTGGCTATTTAGTATCCCTCTCTACACTGGCTATGACCCATAGCAGTAGGGGGCCAGGGAGGGACTAAAGGTACAATCCACTTGCTGGAATCCGGGCACAGTCTAGTCTGTTTTCTTTCACAGAGCAATCTTAGGCGATACCTCAAACCACTGGGAGTGTGCTGAGCATGTGTAGTGGAGAGGCTGGGCCAAGCTGTCCCTACCCGAGATCTAGTCATACCTGTCTCTGTCTTTCCTAGATCCTGAAGGAGATGTGTGATGTGGAGCAGGTGCTGTTAAAGAAGACAGCTTCAACTGCCTCCTCCCTTGGCTTCCCAGAATCAAAACATACAGCAACAGAGTTCCAAGAAAATAAAGCTCCCGGGAAGAAAAAGAAACGAGCTTTGGCCAGCAATACCAGCTTCTTCTCTGGCTGCTCTCCTATTGAAGAAGAGGCCCACTAAAAATGAACTTGTCTTCTCTGTCGCAGTTTGGCTTGAGAGAGCCTTTCAGGCTGCAGCCAGAGTGGTTTTTTGATTTACAGTTTCTTGCTGTTTCACAAAGGGACCACATATTACTGAAAGAGGAAACCTATTGGATGTTGGCAGTCAGTCTCCAGCACCTCAGCCCCAGACTACTACTCTTCTCCAGATAGGTGCTAAGCTTTTCTCCAGAAAGGTGCTAAGCTACTTGCTGAAGAGAGAACCAACTGACCTTTCCAGTGACTCACCAAGAACCAGTCCCCAGTATAGTCTAGCTCTTTCTTATTTGTGAGCAGTTAGGACTGTCTCCAGATGGGTATGCGGCTGAGGCTGTATTATTCCTAGGTTGTCTCACCTTAATGGTGGAGCTTGGCCTAGGATAGAGGCCTGGAACCCATCCTTCACCCCATCTCAGCAATGAGGTTGGGATTTTGGGGTTGACCATTTTGGGGATGTAAATGTTTTATCTATACCCTCAGTTGTCTTCTGTGTTGCTGAGGTAAATGAAATCTTTTAAAATGTAAGTAAATAAATTCTAGTTCATCTACTGTTTGGAAAGCTCTTTCTGTGCTAGAGGGAGAGATACAATTTCAACCTGTGTTCCTCAGCCCCTGGGAGGGCTATTAAAGAGTCATACAAATAGCCACACCTCCCTGCCCTCTTCCCCAGAGGAGAGTGTGGAACACCAGTGTGTCTTTCCTCTGGAAATGAGAATGATGATCTGGCAAGGCCTGTGACCTCCACTGTAGAACCTGCCTGCAGTTCAGATCTGTGGAAAAGGAACTATATTTACTAAGTATCTCCATGTGTTTGCCACAATTTTATTTGCTTCTCACAAAAAAGTTCAAGGTAGATAGCTGCCATTTTGCAGATGAGGAAACTGAGATGCAAAGCCACTTGCTTAAATTTAACTTGCTTAAAGTCACAAAGTTACTAAGTAATAGAGCTAGGACTGTTTCTCCATTCTGGGTTCTTGAACTCTCCAAGAAATAGAAATAATGGAAACCCTAAACCTGCAGTTATCAAGAAAGAATTTATTACCACTTAGGCAATTCAGCATAAGTGAGTCAGCATCAGGGACAGGATCTGTATGCTGTTCCCCAAGAAACAGGTGGAGGCTCTATGCAGGTTTTTTTTTTTTTTAAGATTTATTTATGTATGCATACAAGAACTGGGGTACAGGTCAGAGATGCAGGGGGTGAGAAGATTCACCAGAGACAGAACAGGGAACAGAACAGGCAGACTGACTGAAACACACTGCTGAGGGGAGCAGCGGGTGAGACAGGAGAGGTCTTCCTCGCCATGTGGGTTTCTCTCCGGCTGGCCAGGGATGGAACTCGTGCTGCAGTGGCTGTGGATTGCTTCATAGTACGGTGCTTAACCCCTTGTGCCACCAGGGAGGCCCTCTATGCAGTTTTAACACAGCATAACTAGAGGGTAGAGTCCTTCCTTGGCTCTTCTTTCCATGCAGTCATTCCTCGAACATGTGATTACCCCATGCCTGTGACCTCTTCAACAGTGGATCCTATATCATTAGCCTAGAGGTTTTGTTAGTGGTAAAAACTATTTTGTCTAAAGTATGTATGGAGGAGGGGTTTCTTCAAGGTGGATCCCATATCATTAGCCTAGAGGGTTGTTAGTGGTAAAAACTTTATCTAAAGTATTCATTGGGGAGGGGTTCCTTCTTAGAGATAGGGACAGTCACTATAAGAGTGTGGGTAAGTGACTTTGGCTCCATCTGCAGTGGAGAAGATGCAGCTTTTGCTTTATAATGACTTGGTCAGCCTCAGCCTGAGTAAATGTCCAGTATCCTGGAGTTTCCTGAGATTCACCAGACCCTTTCTCCTAACACAGGATGTGAACCCAAGGTTTAACACCAAAGCTTCGGTGTGACTCTCAAGGAGGAGTAGTGGCTGTTCTAATGTTCTGAGGCCTGGTGACGTGGCGTTGCATGAGCATGGGACTGTACTGCTGCCCAGTTCTGACAGCTCAGCACCTGCAGCTTGCTTTCTCCTTGGAAAGAGAGGGGAGGGTGTGGTTTACTCCTTAATATGCATCAGGGTTCCCTATTTTTGCTTAAAGGGGGGCAGTCATGGATTACCACACAGGCTGCCAACTGGCCTTGCAGCCTTCTGAAGCATTTACAAGCCCTGAGCTTCATATCCATGCATTCTGAATCCCAGTCCCCACCTCCCCCGCCCCAGCCAAAATAGTTCCCAAAGCATCCCCCTGAACTCAGCACATGAAAACTAAAACTTGCAGAATCCACTACAGAGCCCAAGCAAAGAAAACTGAAGAACGACCTGTTTGGAATAAATCCTACAGGACTAGGTGACTGGTCAGTCCTCTCTGGCCTCTTGCCAGCAAGCCGCTCTGCTTCTCTTTGCATGCTAATGCTGAGGGAGCTAGGGAGCCTCTGCCATTGCCAACAAGAGCCCCAGGATACAATGGGAAGGCAGAGAGGGAGGGGGGCTGGCTCTTGGCATAGCGGAGCCAGTCTTCTTGCTGTTCCAAATCCAGTGTGGGGGGAGGGGTAAATGGAGCTTATTCCCACAGAAGACATACTCTCCCACCTACACTGCGCTAGCCCAGCCTTCAAGCCACTGCAACAGCCAAAAGGAGGGTCAATTCAACCCAGCCCCCAATCCCCAGTCCACCCAGAGCCCTGTGCTTCAGCACTAAGCTGATGCTACATGTGTTAGCCAGTCCTCTCCTGTTGGTGTGTCGTAACAGCATCTTTTAGTGTGTGTTCATCTCCCCAAAGCTCCTGACTCTGACTCTAATATACTATACACTCCTCAAATGATTTTTGGAAAAAGACTTTAAATGCCTTGGGGACAGAAATGACACAAGTCCTCACCATGTTCTGAATAAGCATCTATCTGAGTGTATGGGAGGAAAGGGAGAGCTGCTAGTGTCAACTTGGATCCACAAGCCCATGGGGTACCCCAGCACAGAAAAAGGGTGATCTGCTGCCCAGACTTCAGGGAGTAGCTTGCAACTCTGTCTCTTCTAGATGCACCATGCAAAAATAGAAGGATCCCAAGAGGGGAGGCTGATCAATCAAGGCTGTCCTCCCAGGGAGCTTGAGACTGGATGCTAGACTTACACTCGCACACCCCTGGGGGGGACTGACTGGGCCCCTTCTCACTGTCAAGTCGCAAAGTTGTGTGGTCACCTCCCCCAGTTTCCCGCCAGCCAGTGCCCTCAGCCCTCGCATCCCTGAGCCAGGACAAAGCCCCGGCAGTGACAAAAGGGAATAGGAGGAGGGACAGAGGGATGGGGAAGGCTGCACAAAGGAATTCCTTGCCCCAAGCCCCCTGACCGGAGGCAGCGAGTAACTAAGCAAATCTGCTTGCTCTCCCACTCTTCCCTCCCATTCCTTCCCCAGCCCCCCCTCCCCGCCCCCAGGGCTGGGCACAGATCTTAAAGCCACTTCAGGCCTAGAAAGTACCTACACAGCCCCCTCTAGGTGGCAGCAGTGCCATCTTTCACTGGTGGGGCTGAGTCAAGGACTGGAAGAGGGAAGAGGCAGACAACTCGGAGAGGAGCTGGGAAGCTGTGCAGTGCAGAGCAGAGAGCAGAGTGGAGCTGCCGCTGAGAAAAGGTGTGAGGGCTTGGGAAGGCTGGGGTCCCACAGGAGGGAGTGGCGGGCGGAGATGGGCTCCAGCTGGCAGGGATTGGGTCCAGGGTTTGAGCAACAACCCTGCTCAGCTCCCCTGATTGGGGTTTTCAGCCTGCTCACTCCTGATCCCATCCCACAGACAGCTGCTTGGGGGAGGTGGGACTCTGGAAGGCAGTGTCTGGGGTCCAGGGGCAGGACCTGAAGGGAAGCTGGAGGTGCAGACAGAGCCCAGGGCAGGGGACTGCAACCCCTGGATGAGAATAGGCAGAGGATTACCTCCCTTTGGGATGACTTTTTCCTGGGAGGGATTTCTAGGAGGGAGAGGTTTCCTTCCTACAGCTGTTTCCCTAGCTTCAGCACCCCCCACCACTATACACCCTACCCGAAGCCTCCTTTCCCAAGGCAAATGCAGGGTAAGGAGGGTAGTTTCAGGAGTAGTCACACCCTCTCTCCTTTCAGGGACCCAGCACCTCCCTAAGATTCCAGAGGCTCAGGGGAGCCCAGATGACTAGGGGTGGTATCCCTCGCTCCACACACACATTCCATATATCTGGGGCTCCCTTATAGACTCAAATTCATTTTTACTGACAGCCACAAGTGCGCTCACATGCACACCCAAATCACACACCCAGCCTAGTTTGGGGATCAGTAAGCCAGCTTGATCTCAGCCTGACCCAAAAACACAAGGTGCAGGGATCCCCTGCCCCAAGACAACCACACCCCCCACACACCTTTGCCCCGTATTTGTTGTACTTCCACTTAAGTGAACTTAGAGGGTGGGGCTCTGAGTGGGGGAAGGCAGGGACTGGGTTCCTGGCCTGGGTGGGGGGATGACTGGGCAGGAAGGTACCTGACTGGGAAGAAAGGGCTTGCTTGGATTTACCAGGTCTCTGTGGCCAGGAAATGGGTTCCTTTAGAAGGCTGGGGGTGATCCAGGCAAACTGTTCCCCCCAAGTCTTCCTCTTATTAGAAGTGCCCCCTGCCCACTGGAAGGTGGAGACAGAGGATCTTTCAGTGAGGGCTTTGTGAAACGTGCAATCTCTGTATCCATAGCAACTGGCCAACTAGCTAGGCTTCCCTTAGCCCCAGGTCAGAACTGGAAGTTCTGCTTCAGTTTACTCTGGGTTCCTGAAGTGGAAGGCTCTTCCACATGCAGCTGCCTCATGCTTGGCCAGATCTGCCTCAACTTGCTGAATTGAGTTTGCCCCACCTTGGGCAGTTTCTCCTGAGTCCCTACCCCACCCTCGGGCCAGCACTCCATCCCGAGTCAGATAAATGTGGAGGAGTTGGAGAGAGTGGGTGTGCCTCTTGCCTGCAAAGAGGCCAGACCTTCCTGGTGTCCCACTGACTTTCCACGTACCCAGATTAAAAGCTGTCCCCCTCTGCTTACCAACTCATCCATCATGGCCACAGCATGTCCCATGACCTCCACGTTGCTGAGCAGTGCCCCAGGGCTCTGCTCTTCTATATTTTCCCCAACCCATCCCTGTTCTAGATACACTGGGAGGGAGGCTGGGATCTGCCTTCTACCAGGGTCCCTAATAGCCCAGTGTCCCTTCCCCCAGGCCCTCAACATGGCCCAGCGCCCCAGCTGCTGCTCTATCTGGGCCCAGTGCCTCGGCTGCCTGTATAGCTGCCACTGGAAGAAAAGCCCCCAAGAGAGGATGCAAATCATTAAGGTGGAGTAGGGATGGAGGGGGGTGGAAGTCTAAGGCAGAGGCCACTTGAAAGGGATCAGGAGGCCCAGTAAGCTCAGAGGCAGCTGGGGGGGAAGGGGTTTTCCCTCCCCAGGAAGAAAATCTCCCTCAATTTTGAAAAGAACTGCCTCAGAGCAGCGCAGAGCAGACCAACACTTGGCAGAAAGAGCCCCTAAGCTGCAATCCGCTGGGGACTCTGAACCAGAAATGGGGATCGGCTCTGAGCTTCTCTCCTGCCCCTTTGCAGTGCAACGACTGTTTCTGGTTTGGTCTGCTCTTCCTAACCTTCCTCCTCTCCCTGGGCTGGCTGTACATCGGGCTCGTCCTTCTCAACGACCTGCACAACTTCAATGAGTGTGTCATGTGCCCCCCACCCCTTCCGCAAACTTGTCAGCTTCCTCCCCACCCTGGGAACCGCCCCCCACCCTGCACTCAATCATCCCCAGCCCTGCCCAGCTCTCCTGCTACCCAACCTCCTTAGAGTATCTATCTGTGAAGCCCCCCCCCATCCTTGAAGTCCCTGGTCCTATAAAGGGCTTTCCCCTCAGTCCCTTCTAGTCCTCCTCCTGGATCCACCCACCCCCACTCCTATCAGTATTAACACCCCTTCCCCCACTTGTACACCTTCCTCTCCCTTTGCACAGATTCCTATTCAAGCAGTGGGGATGCTGGATGGACTGGTCCCTGGTATTCCTGCTGGTCACCTCTCTGCTGGTCACATATGCATCCCTGCTATTGGTGGGTCTGGGAACCAATCAGCCTAACCCCCACTTCAGCCCTTCCTTCCTGCTCAGCTCTACCCTGGCCACTGGGCCACTGAGGGAAGGAGAGGGGTGTGGTGGCCTGAGGCACCCTCCTCAGTGACCCCTCTTGATGTCTCATTACTCCCACCATCCTCTACCCCCAGCTCCTGGCCCTGCTCCTGCGACTCTGTGGCCAGCCTCTGCACCTGCACTGTGTGCACAAGGTAGTGTGGGGACCGGAATGATGGGAGAGGTGGCCTGCTCGACCCAGCTCCTGGCCAGCTAGTTACCTAGGACCTCACTACTCTATCCCTGAGCTGGAACTCAGGACCTGAAGCCCAGTAAATATTTGTTGAGTGAGAGCCTCCTTGGTGGCGCAAGGGGCAGCCTCTGCAGTGCGAGTTAGATCCCTGGCCAGCCAGGGAGCTACCCACATGGTGCAGCAGACCTCTCCTGTCTTGCCCGCTGCTCCCCTCAGCAGTGTATTTCAGTTGATTTGCCTGTTTTGTCTCTGGTGAGTCCTCTCACCATCACCCCACACCTCTGGCCTGCACCCCAGCTCTTGTATGTATAAATAAATAAATCCTTAAAAATAAAAAAGAAAAGAAAAAGAAAAAAATATTTGTTGAGTGAAAGGCGAAAGGTGGATGCTGAAGGAAGGCCACAGTCCCATCTCTATAGGGTGAAGGGGCAGACAGTGAGTCATGAGCCTGGGATGACACAGAAGATGCACTTATCCCTGGCCCCCCAGGTGCTGCTGATCTTCATTATACTTCTTGTGGTCGCTGGCCTCGTGGGACTAGACATCCAGTGGCAGGAGGAGTGGCATAGCCTACGTGTGTCACTGCAGGTGAGTGGCTGATCTCCAGCACCTAGGTGGGAGCTTTTGCCTGCAGCCAACCCCAGAACATATGTTGCTCCCTGGTCATCCAAGACTGCAAGTAGCTCTGAACTCCAAAAGTCAGATCCTAGGAGGAGAGGGAAAGGGCACCAGGAAGAAAAGCCCTCCTCACCAGTTCTTGTCCGCAGGCCACAGCCCCATTCCTTCACATTGGAGCAGTTGCTGGCGTCACCCTCCTGGCCTGGCCTGTGGCTCGTACCTTCTACCATATCCACCAAAGAGGTACCAACTCCACCCCCCCAAAAAAAAAAAAACACCCATCACTGGCCTTTGATGCTTCTGCTTCCCACTGCATGGTCTACCACCTGCACTCTGCTTTAGGCCTCCAGAGCTCACTCCTGCCCTTTTTCCACAGCCTGTCCCCCATTACTCCCCACAGGTCCCAAGATTTTGCTACTGCTCCTATTTTTTGGAGTTGCTCTGGCCATTTACCTGGTCCCTTTATGCATATCCTCACCCTGTATCATGGAACCCATAGACTTACCCCGCAAGCCTGAGCTGGTGGGACACCGAGGGGCCCCCATGGTGAGTGTTGGGCAGAATGCTGGGAGGGCAAGGCTCCTGTCACCAGGCCTGTGAGTTCCCAAACTCCCACACTTCCCTGATACCTCCTCACCAATTTCCTCTCTCAGCTGGCCCCTGAGAACACCTTGATGTCCCTGTGGAAGACAGCAGAATGTGGAGCTACTGTGTTCGAGACTGATGTGATGGTCAGGTGAGGGAAGGTGGGGGGCTAAGGGACACAGCAGGGGAGCTCCAAGAGAGAGAACCAGCTCAAGCTTGGCACCCTGATACCCCTTGTTCTCTCAGTTCCGATGGAGTCCCGTTCCTCATGCATGATGATCGCCTGAGCAGAACCACAGATGTGGCCTCTGTGTTCCCAGACCGAATCACTGCCCACAGCAGTGACTTCTCCTGGAATGAACTGAAGAGACTCAATGCTGGAGCCTGGTTCTTAGAGGTGAGTGAGGTCAACCTCTGGGGAGAGGCAGTCACCCACAGGGACACTCTGGGCAGAGTTCACTCACGGATAAGCATTTGCTGAATGAACTCTGTGCTGGGCAATATGCAAAGTCTCTGCCCTTAAGTCACTCCCACCTAGTAAAGAAACCAGCATAGACAATGGACTATCAGGATATGAAACCCAGAACTATAGCAGTATCTTTACAGTAGAGAGGAAAGAGAAGGCACTGTTTGGCAGGGTGGGTGTGGGAAAAGATGCCTGAGCAGCTTATGGAGAGAGAGTGGTTTTGAAGATGGGCCAGGCAGGAAACAGGAATCTGAGTCAGGGGAGAAGCCAGATACAACCCACAAGAATAAAAAAAAAAAAAAAAATTCCCTGGGAACAAAAAGTAGCTCTACAGTACTGGGAGATCGAATTCATGAGAGTAGTTGGGGGGTGAGACTGGCTAGGGGGGCAGAGGTCTGCTCTCAGAAGGCCCTGAATGCCAGACCCAGAATACAGACCTCAATCCTGCAGGTGATGGAAAACACCTAAAAGGATACTTTATTTTTTCAGTTCCTCCTTTTTTGATCACAAAAGTAATACATGCTCCCTACAAAAAAAAAAGAGAGAAAACCCAAAACATCAGAACCTAAAAACTGAAAAGTCTCCCATACTTTCTGAGATATTCACTGTTAACACTTGGGTACATGTATACACACAATTCTTCATATGCCTATATATCTATCTATCTATCTCTATATATTTATATACAGGTTTCACTTTGCACAAATAGGATCACTACACATATACTTTGGCAAGTTGCTTTTTTTTCCCCATTTAACTATAGGGTGACACATGAGAGTGATTAAGAGCAGGAAATGTCTGGGCTTGAATCCTGGTTCCACCACTAGTAGCTGTCTGAGCCTGGGCAACATTCCTTAATGTCTCTGTGCATCATTTACCTCCTCTGGAAAAAGGGAATAAAAACAGTACTTACCTTGTAGGATTATTGGGGGGATTATATAAATTAATACACATAAAGTACTTCTAACGCCGCCCAGTGCATAGTAAATATTTAATGTATAGGTTGACAACAAGCTGTTTCCATTTCACAGATCAGGAGATAAGGTCTCCTGTTAATTACAAAGCAGGGAGAAGAGAATGGTAGAGATTAGGGATAGGAGGAATGCGAGAGGGAGCACATCAAGGATAAGTAAAAAGATGGCCAGGGCCTCCCTGGTGGCGCAGTGGTTGAGCGCTGGGTTGCGAAGCTGCCCGCAGCCTCTGCAGCGCTGGTTCGATCCCCGGCTGCTCCCAGGCCACCGGAGGAGGGTCCCACATGGCGCGCAGACCTCTCCTGCCGCCCGCTGCTCCCCTCAGCAGTGTACTTCGGTCCTTCTGCCTGTTCTGTTCCCCGCTCTGGCTCTGGTGAATTCTCTCACCCTCCCGCGCTTCTGACTGTGCCCAGTGCATGTGCAGGCGAAGCAAGCAAACAAACAAATAAATGAATGGGGCATGCCTCTATTAAAAAAAAAATAAAAAAGATGGCCAAGCAAAACCAAGAATGAAAAATAATATACAGAGTAGACGGTCCACATGGTGTTCTCAGTACCACAGTTCTAGGGGTGGAGGGTGCAGACAACTGGAGAATTGCATGCAAGTTTGGGATTTGTGGGCAGATGGGACAGGAAAGGCTTTGAGCGTGCTGGAAAAGTACTTTGAGCTGCGAAAGGAGGGCATGTGGATGCAGCCAGAAAAGACCTGATGGATTAGGAGGAGACCAAGTGGTCAAGAGCCCAGTGGTCTCTGTGCGACCAAAGAGGAAATATAGTGGGAGAAAGGAAGTCAGCAAATGGGGAGGGTAGGAAGTTGAGAACACAGAGTAAGGGACTAGAGTAAGGGCCACAGAATAAGGAAAGAGGGCCACAGTTTAGAGAAAGACTCTGACTCAGAGGTGGGAGAGAGCTGGGCAGCAAGTGGGAGGAACAAGAGAAGATAATGAGGATGTGGGTTGTGGAGGCTGGTCTGCAGGCTTCTTCCAGTCTTTCAAATTAGTTTCCCTTGCTTATAGAGGCGAACTTTCTGGTGGGCCAAGCAGCTGTCAGACCGTGATCGGAAAGAGGCTGAGAATCAGAGAGTACCCACATTGGAAGAGCTACTGAAGGAAGCTGCAAGCCTCAACCTTTCCATCATATTTGACTTGCGCCGTCCCCCAGAAAACCACACATACCATGACACTTTTGTGAACCAGACAGTGGAGACTGTGCTGAATGCAAGGGTGCCCCAAGACATGGTGATGTTGCCAGGACCCCAAGTGCCCCCTCCAGCCCTTCTCCCCTTTCCCCTGCCTTCTCTAGGAAAAATGACCTATAGGCCATTTTGAAGTGGCCCTGCCCCAGAGTTCCGCCCCAGCTCATATACCCCACCATGTGGTCAAACCTCTCATCTCTCTGCCACTGCCCCCCTGGCCCTGGAATCCCTAGGCCTTCCCCAGCTTCATGCCCTTCCTCCCTGAACAGGTCCTCTGGTTACCAGATGACGATCGAGCTAATGTCCAACAGCGGGCACCGGGAATGCGCCAGGTATATGGACAGCAAGGAGGCAACAGAACTGAGAGGCCTCAGTATCTCAACCTCCCCTACCAAGACCTGCCACAGTTGGACATCAAGTGAGTGCCAGAGGAAAGCAGCTGAGAGGAATCACGTGAGACGTTTACTGGCCAGGAAGAGGCAATGCAGGGGGTGGAGGGGGGGGCAAAGGCCATTCATTCCTTTACTCATACACGAAATATTTATCACACATTTGCTATGCGTCACACACTATTTACTGCAGGTTCCTATCACATTCTAGTGACATAAACAGATAGTAAAGCAGTGAACAAAATATTTGCACGTTGGATCGTGATAAGTGACCTGAAGTCAATACAGTGGGGAGAAGTAGCAGAGCAGGGATCACCTCTGCAAGGGCGGGGCTGGAAGGGGCTTAAAGAGGTGGTGTCTGAACTGAGACCTGATGGGCCACAGGGAACCATGAGAGAAGCTGCAGAAGAGCAGAAACAGCGGCCCTCATGAGCACACAAAAGCAAGGCTGGAGAGGTAGGCATGGGCCAAAATGGGTCGGACCTTGTCAGCTATGAGAAGGATTTGAGCTTTCATTCCATATCAATGAAATAAATGTAAGAAAGGATGGAGCCAGGGGAGAGAGGTGTGAGAATCCCAGATCTGAGCTGGGCCCCAGAAGCTGGCCTAGCCTGTCAACACGATGGACTTTGAAACATGCAGTTGCAAGGTCTCTTATAATGTCCTTGTGGTCAGACAGAAAAACTATAGGCTGAATGATAACCCAGTTATTGTAAGTATTTCAAGGAGTTTTTCCTGGGTTGTCACCATGGTGGGAGCCACAACATCAGGTTTGATCCTCACTGTCCTCTCATCCTGCTCATTATCAACTGTTGATGTGTCCAAAAGACAAGAATTGGTAATGAATTACACTGATGATGAAATAGAGGCCCTGAATGGTCTAAGGCCTATGTTGGGGCCCTAAAAAAAACTCAATTGCACAAAGACAAAAGAGGAGACAGTGGCATCAGCAGGAAAGTATGTGTGAAAAAGACCAGGTGACTGAACGGTGTGCCTATTGAGTCCTCATGGTGAGTGACATTGCTGAAAGATAACCTGACCCTCAGTCATACAGTCATAGTGTCCAGAGGTGGGAGGAATTTTGCTCTACTCAAAGCTGCTCCAAGCCTGCCTGGGATATAGCATGAGCAGATGCAGTGCCGTACTTTGAAAGGCACATTGGTGAAGTGAACCAAGATCAGATTAGAGAGCTTTGTATGGTAAAGGGAATAATAACCCAGATTCCAAGAGTCGTAGTGGAAGGAACCAGGGAAGCTGGGCCTGGAGAGGAGAAGCGCCAGGGGCACATGGTCACCGTTCCTCAGACCTCTGGAGGGCTCTCGTAGGACAAAGAGGAGAGACACGTTCATGTGGACAGACAGCAAAGCTGTGCCCCATAGGCAGAATCCACCGGGTGACAGGGTCCAGCTAGGCAAAGTGATTTCACTTTTGGTCAGGGGCTTTAATGCCAAGGTAGAGCTGATAACTTCTTGGCAGTGACGCTATAGATTCAAGCACAGATGGGGGCTGTCCACCATGCTTTGTGCCCCACAATTCTAGATGTTCCCTGTTTGTTCCCCACATCCACAGGGCACTGCACCAGGATAATACATCGGTGAACCTATTTGTAGTGAACAAGTCCTGGCTCTTCTCCCTCCTCTGGTGTGCAGGGGTGGATTCAGTCACCACCAATGACTGCCAGCTGCTGCAGCAGATGAGTGGCCCTGTCTGGCTTATTGTAAGGGCCCTGGGACTGACCCCCTCCTCTTCTTCCTCCATCCCTGGCTCTTCTTAACCTTGACCCTCTCTTTCTTATTTACCCCCCATACCCCTACGGCACTCTGCCCACTGACAGGAGCCTTTTCCTATTCCCATAGCCTCCTCAAACCTACCTAATAACATGGATCATCATCAATTGTGTCTCTGCCCTGCTGCTCTTGTTGGCCTTCCTCAGCCAAAGGTAAGTGCTTTGTGCCTCAATTTATTTGGCCTTTGTTATCTCCAGATAATAAAATGGCTTAAAGGCCATTTGGGGGAACCCAGGGTCAAAAATTTGTTCTTGAAGCTGGCTGAACTCACAACGGGAAGCTTTTCTCCCCATAGGACATGTGCTAGTGAGGAAACGAGACCTGGTAAGAACTTTTTCCCTTTCACCCCATTTTTCTCATCCTCCAGGCTTCCCCTTGCTCACTCCATATATGACCCCTTCTTCCACCCTCCCCAGGTGTAGAGACAGCAGTGCTGCTGACTGGGATCAACAGTTTCAATTAGGAGTGAATGTCCTGTCCTGGCCCCCACCAGCCTGAGTCTGGGGCCTGTCTGCACAGGCGGATGGCAAAGAAGGGAGAGTGGCTGAGGTGGACTCTTGAGGTGGACTGTTGATGGGGTTGGGCAGGCTTAAATTTGACAACAGGAGGTCTTGGGTTGTGAGAGTCCTCTGCCCAGTAGGTGAGCATGGCCCAAGCTTCCTTGGACTCTGCTTGCCTTGCGATTTTGACCCCAGGTGGTAATTGGGAAGACTGTGACTCATGAGAAGTTTCACTTGTGGAGGAAGTGAAAAGGAGATTGCCAAGATAATGTTTCAGAGCGATGTGCAATGTGTTCACGTGTGGAAGGCTCGGGTGTGTCGGGTATGGGACAGCAGGGAACAGTGACAGAAGGAGATGACAAGACCGGCCTTTCCAGAGAACTATAAAATGATGCAGACGCCAATTCCACTCCATTCACTGTCTCCCCTGACCCCTACAATTTAGCAGCTTTCCTAACTAGAGGATGGGGGCAAAAAAGACCATCTAGTCACGTACTCCTGTGCCTACAGCTGGCTTTTTTTCTGTGCACGGCTTTTTCTTCAAAACGGGTTGGTTCCTGCCTCTTGTCTGTTGAATCTGTTATTCAATGAACCTAATCCCATTAGGTCACAGCCTGATTTTTTTCTGCGCTAGGACTGACTGAAGAATGCACCCTCCACCTAAGGTTGGGCGTGACCTGACACCGGGGGAGAGTTAGGATTTGGCTGGGGGCAGGGGAGGACCACCTGGGCCACAAGGGCTGTAGGAGGAGCGAAGCCGGAGAGCGGCCACCACCTGGGGCGTGCCAGGCGGCCTAGGCGCGCGGCGCAGAGTTGCGCTGTGGCTCCACCCTGTGGTCACCTGTCCTAACAAGCGAGCCGCGGCGGTCGCCATCGACACGTTTCTGCTGAATGCCACCTGTTTCCCGTGCCGATAGGGCACTAGTGCCCTTGACTCGGGACCCTGAGGGCACGGTCCGATTCCCACAGGTTTTCGTTACTGTGGCCAGCGCTCCGGGTCTAGTTCCCGACCCCGCCGTCCCTTCCCGGAGCAAGTTCCTCAGTGTGCTGCTCTGAATCCTTAGCCTAAACGACTAAGGTGCCCAGTCGGGAGCTGGTTTAGGATGAAGAGTCGGCTAGAAGGGTGGCAAGCGGCTAAGGTCAAAAAGGAGACTGAAGGGGGCTCTGCGACCGACTCTTCAATCCCCCGCCGCACCGTCTTTAAGCCCGGTTAGGGTCTCCACGCGAAGGAAAAGCGAATGAAGGCTCTGGCAAGGTCTAGAAGTTGGCCTCCCAACTCCTGCTGTCTCACTGTAGTGGGCCCGGGGCAGTACTAGCAACCTCGGTAGCCCACTCGCCTCGGTGGCGGGGCAGCCCCGGGAACTACGGTTCCCAGGGTGCCCCGGCCACTTCCGGTTTCGGGCTGGCCGGAAGCCAGTTTGAATTCGTGTTCCGCCCCTCTCCCGGCTCTCGGCCCCCTCCTTCCCTCGCCGCCCCGCCCCCGCCATGCACGCACACACACGTACACACGCGGGCAGCTGTCGGCGCCGACGTACCTGGTCCGCAGCTGGCGCGGTATGCATGGACGCTGCGGTCCCGGGCTTCTCGGGCTCCCTACCGCCTCGTACCGGCAGGTGTCCTTCACACGCCACCTTTTCGAGCTGCCTTAGTTCCTTAGTTCCCCGGCTTCGCGATCCCGCCTCTCAGTTGGGCCGACCGCGGCCGAAGTTGTGGGATGTCCAGCCTGACTGGGACGGCCAGCTCTAACCACGCTGCGTTTCTCCCCCCCAAGCCTATGGTCCTGCCCCCTCCCAGGCGCCTGGCCTCACTGCCTGCAGCCTCTTCCTCCCCTCCCCTTCCGACCTAACGCTGACCTCGTGGGGTCTCTACTGCCACAGCAACCTGGAGCTCCCGGTCCCCAAACTAGCAGTTGCAGTTCTCTAACCTCAGCGTTCAAGTCCGCTGGCCAGAATGCCAGGACCCAGTCCTAACAACTCCTTGCCTCGAGGAGTTGGACCTGAGCCTACCACCACAAATACTTCCTCTTTCAGGAAGGAGAACTGGACCGCTGTGGCGCTCTTAGCCTCAGTGAGGCCCTGGACTGGAGACTGACAAAAGCTTGAGGGCGGAGGGCCAGGGGGAGCTGCTCATTGGGGTTCGAGTGCAGTTGCTTTCCGTTATTTTTAGCTGCTGACTCACAGCTCCTGGCATCTGGGTTTGGGGCTAGCAGGCTGGGCTAGGGGCCTATTAATAGAGCCCAGGCACAGCTCCGACCCAGTTCGGTTTGGAAGCAGACGGAGGAAGGAGTCTCCCCCTGCCATCATGCCCTGTAGAGATGTGGACTGAGCAGTGGCAGAACCAGACATTCTCTGGCTGCCAGTCCCTCTGCCTGGTAGTTCTGCCTTGGAATTCTTAAGGGAAAGCCTACAGCAGGACTCCAGGCATACTCTCCCCTAAGCTTATCATGGCTTGGGCCTCTGCTACAGTGAGGCTCCCCTTGTAGTAACTGAGAGTGAAGAAATAAGTCCCAAGGGGAGGGGTTTATTGTGGCCACAGCCTTGCCCTGCCTGGACCTACTCCTGGGCTAGAATGCTAGGTTACTAGGAGGAAAAGCTGTGGATTTCTGGTCCCCAAAGGCCCTCGTAAGGATGGGGTGCTTCCTAACAGAGGAAGCGCAGAGCCAGGAATTTGCTAGCCCCAAACCAGACTCTGCATTAGGAACCGCTGAATTGTGTTCAGCCACTCCCATTCGTTTTATTTCTTTCCTTCTTGAGGGGCTCTGCCCCTATTCACACGGGTCAACAGACCTCAGGATCTTTCCCTACTCTATAGAGAAGCCTCATTCAGGAACACTTGTCTCCACTGAAGTGTGTGTGTGTGTGTGTGTGTGTGTGTGTGTATAGTCATTCCTATGGAACCTTCTTATTTTAATGTACTAAGGTATGAGTTCCCTAACCCATGCATTGGGAATTATGGGGAAATCTCATGCCTTACTGGACTCATCACCAAAATTATTCCCATCCACAACCAATATGCTAGAATTCCTGCTGGCCAAGGATGCACATCCACAGCAATGCCCCTACTTGCAAACCAGAAATTTCTTTTTTAAAAAAAGATTTATTTACATATGCATACAAGGATGGGGTACAGGCCAGAGGTGTGGGGTAGTGAGAGGATTCACCAGAGAGTGAGGAACAGAACAGGCAGATTGACTGAAATACACTGCTGAGGGGAGCAGCGGGCGAGTCAGGAGAGGTCTGCTGCGCCATGTGGGTTGCTCCCTGGCCAGGGATCGAACTGGTGCTGCAGTGGCTGCGGACAGCTTCATAGGTTGCATTTTAACCTCTTGCGCCACCAGGGAGACCCCAAACCCAGAAATTTCTACCTTCAGCAGCCCTAGTCTTTGGTCCCCGGGTGAAACCAGATGACTTTGGGGCAAGAACGATTGTTTCCCTACACACTGGTGGAGAAACACAGTTTCTCCACAGACTGGGGTGACCCAATAAAGCTCTACTTTCAAGATTGAGCCCAGATCTTCAGATACAGGCTGCATTTGCCCCAACTCCATCTCTTGCTGAGAGCACTGGAGAGAGAAATGGACTCTCCTGAGTACCTTCCGCTAGGTAATTCCTTGTCTCTTTAGTCTCAGTACTGTGGATAAGCAACCACAGCTGCCTGCATGGTGTGGGACAGCTTTCAGCCTGTAGGGGCTGCTGGTCTTCCTGGGATCTCCGGCTTGAGACCTAGCTGTTGGGAGGGAGTTCCAAGTAGCCAATCATCTTAGGGTTGCTGACCTCCTCCAGGGCTTGCTAGCCCAATCCCCTCTGAGTCTAGAGAGCATATGGAGTGGAGAGAAACTCACTAAGAACCTAAAGGCATTTTACTCCCATACATTACCAAATGAAAAGACAAAAGAGACAAAGGCCAGTCAGTGAGGATGGGACATGCCTAGGGCAGTTTGACGCTCTCCATCCACTCCAGGCTAGCAATGCTTATGCCACAAACAAGGCAGTTCAGCAGGCCCAGGCTACAGGTGAGAGAGGGGTGTGTTTTCTGAGCCACCTTTAGGAAGTAGGAAAAGAGTCTAATGCTCTGTCTTGACAAACCGCTGAGCATATGAAGGGTTTACCAGCCTAGCCTAGACTTGGTCAGGAAGGTACTCATGTATTTGTTCATTTAACAATAATGATTAATCCTAGGACCTCCCTGGTAGATCAGGGGTTAAAACCTCAGTGCTATCAAGCTATCAACAGTGACATGAGTTCGATCCCTGAACAGGGAGCTAACTCATGCCATGCAGCAGACCTCTCCTGTGTCTCCTACTGCACCCCTCAGTGGTGTATTTCAGTAGATCTGACTGTTCTGCTCCCCACTCTGTCTCTGGTGAATCCTCTCACCCTCACCCTGCCCCTCTGGCCTGCCCCGCCCCTCTGGCCTGCATCCCAGTTCTTGTATGCATGAAATAGATCTTTTATTTTTTTTAATTTTTTTTTTAAATATTTATTTATACAAGAACCGGGGTACAGGCCAGATGTGTGGAGGGTGAGAGGATTCACCAGAGACAGAGTGGGGACAGAACTTAAAAAAAAAAAAAGTACCGGGGCCTCCCTGGTGGCGCAAGGGTTTAAGCACTGCACTGTGAAGCAATCTGCGGCCTCTGCAGCATGAGTTCTATCCCTGGCAGGCCAGGGAGCAACCCACATGGCGCAGCAGACCTCTCCTCTCTCGCCCGCTGCTCCCCTCAGCAGTGTATTTCAGTTGGTCTGCCTGTTCTGTTCCCCACTCTGTCTCTGGTGAATACACTCACCCCCCCCATCTCATCTCTGGCCTGTACCCCAGCTCTTGTATGCATAAATAAATAAATCTTTTTTAAAAAAAAGTACCAAATCTTTATTTTTTTAAAGATTTATTTATGCATACAAGAGCTGGGGTACAGGCCAGAGGTGTGGGGAATGAAAGGATTCACCAGAGACAG